GCTGGAAAACTGCTGTACATTTAAATCTTTACTGCACATATAAGTTCCATCAAACACCTTAACTACTGGGAACGCTTGGAAACACTTGACTTGTACTCACTGGAACATATGCGAGAGAGATGCATCATAATCTACACCTGGAAAATCCTAGAGGGACCGGTCCCTAATCTGCACACAGAAATCACTCTCTACGAAAGAAAAAGACTTGGCAGGCGAGGCAATATACCCCCAATGAAAAGTAGGGGCGCCATTAGTACACTAAGAGAAAACACAATAAGTGTCCGGGGCCAAAGACCAATAGACCCCTGGTTGTCTTCAAGAGGGAGCTGGACAGATCCCTCAAGTCAGTACCGGATCAGCCGGGCTCTGGTTCGTAAGTTAGACTACGTGCGGTCAGCAGTAACAGCCTGGCTGATCAGGCCCTGCTCCACCGGGAGGCCTGCTCATGGATCGGGCCGCGGGGGCGTTGATCCCAAGAATACCCTCCAGGTAGCGCTTCCCCATATCCTTTCTAAATATAAATTTGTCTAATGTGAATCTATTGCTGCGAATCTTGTCTTAGATATTTTCAGCACCTTATTTATATTACCTTTATTTATTCCTGTTTTCCATTTGTACACTCAATCAATACAAATTTAGGTTCGTCAGTCTGTCTTCGTAGGAGATGTTTCTAATTCGAATAAATTTCTCATCCTTCTCTAGGCTTCCCAGCACATTGATGTTCATTCTGTAATGTATGTGGAGACCAGAACTGAGGCCATACCAAAGATATACCATGTTGGAGAGAGAGAGAGAGAGAGAAAGAGAGAGAGAGAGAGAGAGAGAGAGAGAGAGAGAGAGAGAGAGAGAGAGAGAGAGAGAGAGAGAGAGAGAGAGAGAGAGAAGAGAGAGAGAGAGAGAGAGAGAGAGAAAGAGAAAGAGAAGAGAAAGAGAGAGAGGAGAAAGAGAGAGAGAGAAAGAGAGAAGAGAGAGAAGAGAGAGAGAGAGAGAGAGAGAGAGAGAGAGAGAGAGAGAGAGAGAGAGAGAGAGAGAGAGAGAGAGAGAGAGAGAGAATTGGTGAATGTTCAGTGGCATCACCTTCACCTGACCCTATTACATCGTCATCAACAGCTGGTGTCACCTGCGCTCCATCTGGTGAAATACTGAGTTACATATTTTCTCAGACGAGACAAACAATTAACACCCCTCAATTGCGCGAATTTACAACATGACAGAGACCTAAGAAAAACTTTACACCTTGGGTAGTTGTACCATCTGCGTGTCGGCTGCCTTCTCCACCGCAGCTGGCGTCACAATGCTGACCTCACCTCTCACCCCATTTTGGCATGTGATAAACTTCAGCTGGTATATAATAATACTTAAACCATTATCATAACCCCCATCACCATTCTTCCTCTTATAACTAGAGTATATATGCCACTGCTACGTTACGAGGACAATACCACCCTAACTCCAGAGCTACCACTATCCACCATCGCAACTAACTCTCCTGCCTTAGAGTTACCATTACCTATACTAGCACCATGGCTTCCACTACCACAACTGTCATCAAGCCTCCAAGCCTCTCTCGAGTGACTGCATTTAACACCGCTGGAGGTATTTATAGCCTAATCCGTGACCAAGTGTCCTTCCCTATATTTTGTTTTGTGTCTATCCCTTCCCCTTTTTTAAGGATAGAAACACACAACTGTCATATATCCCTCTTTTGACTACCTTTCTCTGGATAGCATTGTCTCTAAAAATATATGACCCTGCTTATTCCATCTCATTTGTACACTAGCACCACGACCGCATCTATTATGAAACAAATAATAATTACTTATCTATAACAAATTCCCCCTTTCTCTGTAATCTCATTTAGTGGTTCTCTCCCAGCTTTCTCCAAAATACAAAATCAAAATTGTTCTCTCCCTTTACCCCCAGATTTAATAAACCTTCCCTGGAAAACTCACAAACCACCACTCTATGTAAAAGATTTCTCAGTTTTTGAAACTAATTTTGTTTAAAAATACAGCCACCATCATACCATAGCACCGTGACCCACAATAACAACCTCTCTATCTACCCCCAGTAGACCACCCCCACCCCCCGTCACTAGGCCAGGTGGCGGTCCATCCCATAGCGTAGAGAGGCAGGTGAGGGCTCAGTCCAGCCACCCCGGCTGTGATATACCTGTGACCGATTTCGAGGGCTTTCTACCCTACCCTCCGGCTTTGGCCAAGTTTCATGTGTTCGCAAGAAAGCTTATAGGATTCTTGGTTTCATACACTTGATATACCTTTAATGAGTTTTGAGAGCTTTCTACTCCAGAACCCGACCTTGGGCAAGGCTTGTCTGGTGCTTGCCTAGACAACCAGGTTGTTGCTGGTGGTTACCCGTCGGCCCTCATATCCATCACAGCCTAACTGCAAACCACGCGAATTGGAAGACGGTGCAACATACTCCCAATGAGAAGAAGGGGTGCTGTGAATACACTAAAATAAAACACAGTAAGTGTCCGGGGCCCAAGACTGTTTTGAACAGCCTCCCATGATACATAAGGGGAATTACTAACAGACCCCTGCCTGCCTTCAACAGGGAACTAGACAGCTACCTGAAGTCAGTGCCCGATCAGCCAGACTGTAGTTCGTACGCTGGATTGCATGCAGTCCAGCCTGGTTAATCAGCCCCTAATTTACCGGGAGGCCTAGTCAAGGACTGGGCCGCGGGGGCGTTTACCCTCAGAACGACCTCCAGGTTACCTGATTAATCTGGCACCTGGTGAAGATACCTGTCCAGTTTCTTGAAGACCTCTACACTTGTCCCAGCAGTGTTTCTGATATCTTCTGGTAAGATGTTGAATAGTCTACGGCCACGGATGTTGATACAATGTCCTTTTGTTGTGCCCACTGCGTTCCTATTTTTCACTGAGTTTGTTTTGCACTTCCTACCACATTACGCACTCCAATATGTTCTTATGGCAATGTGCAGATTTTGGACAATGACCTCAAGTGCTTTTCACGTATATATTATAATGTATGTATGTATCTATCTATCTCTCTCTCTCTCTCTCTCTCTCTCTCTCTCTCTCTCTCTCTCTCTCTCTCTCTCTCTCTCTCAGCTTATTAGGACTATAAGGCGTTTCCAATAATTTAAATATTTTACTGCCTCTATGCGATCCGTAAATGATCTCTGTATCTATTTTCGTATCAGGAAGTATAAATAATGCAAGTATAAATAATGCAAGTTGTTTATATATTTTTGGTAATGTATCATTTAGATTACGTCGCTCAGTTAGTTTCCACTATAGAAAACGGACATAAATGCGCTGTAAAACATACAGAGAAGGATGACGAAGGTTATTATATAAATCAGAAGTCTTTCCAATGACAATAGGCTAAAGGCACTGAATTTGCACTTGTTGGAAAGAGGTAAAATTAGGAGGAATATAACTGACGCATGCAAATGGAAAACAAATAAATAAAAAAGGATATCAATAACGTGTTGAAAGTAGCTAACCAAGATAGGACTCCCAACACTGAACTGAAGTTGAACAAATTTAGCTTAGAAAGGATATCAGGACATGATTTAGCACAAGAGTTGTAGATGAGTAGAGTAAAATCCCAGGTAATGCTTATCCCGGTGTAAGCCGACATATTTATTAAACTCTTAATATGTAGCCTGGGGCATGATGTGACTTTTTTTTTGAGAGAGCAGAGAGGGAGGGAGGTTAATCCTGCGACTCTGCACGAGTCTGGAACTAATACCAACAGGGTAGTAAGCCTACTAATCTCCCACGCAGATTCATGTGAGCACCCCCTGCCCCCCAAATTCTCTCCCTCCCTCCCTCCCTCTGAGTCAAGCTGACCTTTATCTTCCTAGAGCATAAACAAAGACTGATAAACTGCTGGTGTTGGAGTGTGAGTAAGGTAATTTTTATGAAGGGATTCACGGAAAACGGTTAGCTGGACTCCTTCAGAGCGCAGGCGTTGTCTGCTCTCTGCAGGAGAGGTGGGGGATGCTGCTGGTTACTCTGTTGTCAACACACCTCTAGAAAGACGGTGACTGAGTGAATGTTAGTGAATGTGTTCTCTTTCTTGGACCACCCTGCATTGGCGGGAGACGGCATTTGTCAAAAGTAGTTGTTGGTAAGGCACTTGGTCTGTAGTTGGTGTGAAAACTGATTAACAAAGAGCACAGAAAATCAGTTGCAAAATGGAAGAAGCTGAAAGTAGGTTAGTTATTTCCATCATTAATTTCTGAGAGTTTGTAACCCAGGATAATCCAAGAAGACCAAGCAGTGTGGCTTATTTTCAGTGGGGTCGTTAAGTCATGTACTCCATGTAGTATGTGTATGTGAATACCGTGAAACTGACGGTGTACCAAGAAATGATGCGGAAAGTAAGTTACTGGAGAGGCAAGATATGAGGATAGGTAGAGATAACAGGTAAACAGAGGCAAAGAACGGAATTGAAAACACTGTAGGCAGTTGAGTAAACAGTAAGAAGGGAACGGAAACAAGTGCGGTATTTTTAAAGCAAACTCATCTGGAAATGATCACCTGGTTAAAATGGTAAACTTGGGGTATCAGAGCCAACAAGTAGTGCCACACAAGGTACCAGACATGAATACCACACGGGGTACTCGAGTCAGCAGGAACAACACAGGAATATAAACAAGGTAAACCTTTACAGTTACGCAGGGGTATTGTTATGAAACGAAGTCAAACAGACATGTCAAAAAAAAAAAAAATAGCTGGGCGTGGCCACTCCAGCAGCTGGAAGAGAGGAGCAATGCGGGTATATTGCTGTCATAACCTCCTCCAATACACAATCACAACAATTGGGTCTAACAGTGATCACAACCGTCATCACATCGGGTCTGTCTACCAGTAGACAAACATCACCATTACACTGGCTCTCTGCTAATACACTGGCATGTTACTCTTAACATTTTTCACCATTGTTTTTTTTTTTCAAAACGAGGATGACTTCACATTATCACATGACGTGCGTGTATACCTTTTCAAGATGTACCTCTAGTCACACACTTCCTAGACACGGATATTCACAGGCGCTTGGGAAAACACACTTAGCGGGGTGTAAGCGGGCAGCCTAGAAGTGGGCACGGAGTACCAATGGGCAGCAACCTACCCGCGCGCCCACTGCTAAGTCACTGAGCAGTCTCTGGGCTCATCCACTCTCCCGCGTTCTGCCCTCCATGGCCACACTACCCAACACTGCCGCCCACCCCGCCCATGTTCTCCACCCTGCCGCCCGAATACCCGTGACTTATAACACCAATACCCTAGGTTTGATTACTGACACAACTACCCTAGGTGACCATGCTGGTGACTGACACAGCACTATGTGACTTTACTGACTGACAACACAAATACCCTGGAAATGGTGGCTATGTCCACTATGTGACTGCTGACTATACCCTAGGTATAGTGACTGACACCAGTACCTACATAGGTGACCATAATGAGGACGTCTTAAAGCATTACTATAACTTTCATCGTCTAATATCTAAAAACCACACCCAGATATTTTAGTTCTGACCTTACACTATCCACCTTGTTTTCTTCAAGGAATCAGGGTACATTGATATTGATGAAGGGTCTCTTGATCCAATGGAATAGAGCTACCCACCTCTTCCGCGAGTCAAAGAACACGGTCAGGTCTGCCAGGAAGTAGCTGTAATAGCTTGCTGGAACGAACGTAGAGGGACAAAGTCTAGGCCTCCTGGTTGACGGCCAGATCAATAAAGTCGTCAAAGAATCGAAAATAAAGATACCCAAGTGTTGCACACGTGTCTTACATATCAACTTGTCGGTACTGTACACCACTAATATAATAGCACATAGCCATAACAACCAGGCTGATCAGGTCTCGCTGTATACTAATGAATATAACTATGACCATAATTTTTAAGCAGGTGGACCGGTAAGCCAGCAGAAGGCTTCGGTTAGATGACCAAAAGCTCCAACGGCGGATCATCATCTGCCTAAGACCAGCGTCAAGAAACACTTGGCCTGTTTCCCGACAAATTTTTACCTAACCTAAGGTCTCGCTATCAACACCCGAAGACTGATGAAGCCACTGTGTGGCGAAACGTTTCCACTATAAACATACATGGGTGAAATTCCACAGTCACTTAAACCGACGGATATAGCCCCACTCCATAAAGGTGGCAGCAAAGCATTAGCTAAGAACTATAGACCAATAGCTCTGACGTCCCACATCATAAAAATCTTTGAAAGAGTGCTAAGAAGCAGGATTGCAAATCACCTGGATTCCCAAAATCTGCACAATCCAGGGCAACATGGGTTCAGGGCAGGTCGCTCCTGCCTCTCACAACTACTGGATCACTATGACATGGCCTTGGATGCACTGGAAGAAAATCAGAATGCAGATGTAATATACACAGACTTTGCAAAAGCATTTGACAAATGCGATCATGGCGTAATAGCCCATAAAATACGTGCAAAAGGAATAACTGGGAAAGTGGGGAGATGGATCTTCAACTTCCTAACAAATCGAACACAAAGAGTAGTGGTCAACAGAGTTAAATCGGAGGCTGCCATAGTGAAGAGCTCTGTTCCACAAGGCACAGTACTCGCCCCCATCTTATTCCTTATCCTCGTATCAGACATAGACAGAGATATACATCACAGCACCGTATCATCCTTTGCGGATGATACTAGGATCTGCATGAGGCTGTCATCTGCTGAGGACGCGGTTAACCTCCAAGAAGATATAAACAAAGTTTTCCAATGGGCAACGGTAAACAATATGATGTTCAATGAGTACAAATTCCAACTACTCCGTTATGGAAAACTGGAGGAGATAATAACTAGAACAGAGTATACTACAGATTCTGGCCATACAATAGAGCGGAAAAATAATGTAAGGGACCTGGGAGTAGTAATGTCTGAGGATCTCACTTTCAAGGATCACAAGTGCAAAGAAAATGATAGGATGGATAATGAGAACGTTCAAAACGAGAGATGCCAAGCCAATGATGATCCTTTTCAAATCACTTGTTCTCTCTAGGCTGGAATACTGCTGTACATTAACATCTCCATTCAAAGCAGGTGAAATTGCAGATCTAGAGAGTGTACAGAGATCCTTTACTGCACGTATAAATTCTGTCAAGCACCTTAACTACTGGGAACACTTGGAAGCACTTGACTTGTACCCGTTGGAACGCAGGAGGGAGAGATATATCATAATCTACACTTGGAAAATCCTGGAAGGAATGGTCCCAAATCTGCACACAGAAATCACTCCCTACTAAAGTAAAAGACTGGGCAGGCGATGCAAAATGCCCCCAATTAAAAGTAGGGGCGTCATTGGTACACTAAGGGAAAACATATAAGTGTCCGGGGCCCAAGACTGTTCAACAGCCTCCCATCAAACATTAGGTGAATTGCCAATAAACCCCTGGCTGCCTTCAAGAGAGAGCTGGACAGATACCTAAAGTCAGTGCCGGATCAGCCGGGCTGTGGCTCGTACGTTGGACTGCGTGCAGCCAGCAGTAACAGCCTGGTTGATCAGGTCCTGATCCACCGGGAGGCCTGGTCATGGACCGGGCCGCGGGGGCGTTGATTCCCGGAATAACCTCCAGGTAACCCAAGTGTTGCACATGTGTCTAATTTATCAACTGTTTTACCTTTGTGGTAGCGGGATGGTTAAATCATTGCAGCGTCCGTGGCCCTGCACCTGCTACTGCTACAGGTACTCAGCCAGGCCACAGGAAGCAACTATACCAAGCTAAAATAGAACATTGTGACAGGAAGCGGTGAGAAACGTATGGCGCTTGATCGACTTATATGTTCTCGTAAAAAAAAAAAAAGCATACCGTTGTTATGATGTTTCACAGCTACAACTATAATGTTAGGAAGGAACAATACAAACTTTCCTTGGAACGTTATAGGAGCCGCATCAGGGAAATGCTTCGTTTATTGTTACTTATGGAACAACAAGTAAAACCGGTAATGATGATATAAATAGACCAGATACACACACACGCGGTGACCAGGCAAATGTTTTTGTTCAAGATGTGGTAAGAGCAGCAATTTGTAACTATCGAAGTTGACACAGACTTCGTACATTCGCTTTGAAAGTCACTGCTACATGATATAATTTTATCTGGTGTAGAAGACTAATCTGGGATCTTTATCTTAGTCATCACTGGTCTAGGTAATAATAATAAAAAAAGAGGACGTCTTGGAGCTTTCTACCAGATCCAGACTATAAGAAACTGTCTGTCATCCTCAACCATCTGGCAACACTGATGCTTCTGACTCACCCTTCCTCTCTCCTGCACCACCTGTCTGCCATCCTGCCCACCACCATCTGCCAACCACTGTACTCACCGTCACCACCTGTCTGCCATCTTGCCCATCACTCCTTACTTCCCATCTTGCTAACCACCACCAGTCTGTCACCACTACAACACTGTATATTTAAAGTGTTTCACTAAGCCAAATACATCGTCCACACACACACACACACACACACACACACACACACACACACACACACACAGGGATCAGGGAATACTTGTCAGGAAGACAGCAGCGAGTCATGGTACGTGGCGAGGTGTCAGAGTGGGCACCTGTGACCAGCGGGGTCCCGCAGGGGTCAGTCCTAGGACCAGTGCTGTTTCTGGTATTTGTGAACGACATGACGGAAGGAATAGACTCTGAGGTGTCCCTGTTTGCAGATGACGTGAAGTTGATGAGAAGAATTCACTCGATCGAAGACCAGGCAGAACTACAAAGGGATCTGGACAGGCTGCAGACCTGGTCCAGCAATTGGCTCCTGGAGTTCAATCCCACCAAGTGCAAAGTCATGAAGATTGGGGAAGGGCAAAGAAGGCCGCAGACGGAGTACAGTCTAGGGGGTCAGAGACTACAAACCTCACTCAAGGAAAAAGATCTTGGGGTGAGTATAACACCAGGCACATCATCTGAAGCGCACATCAACCAAATAACTGCTGCAGCATATGGGCGCCTAGCAAACCTCAGAACAGCATTCCGACATCTTAATAAGGAATCATTCAGGACCCTGTACACCGTGTACGTTAGGCCCATATTGGAGTATGCGGCACCAGTTTGGAACCCACACCTAGCCAAGCACGTGAAGAAACTAGAGAAAGTGCAAAGGTTTGCAACAAGACTAGTCCCAGAGCTAAGAGGTATGTCCTACGAGGAGAGGTTAAGGGAAATCAACCTGACGACACTGGAGGACAGGAGAGATAGGGGGGACATGATAACGACATACAAAATACTGAGAGGAATTGACAAGGTGGACAAAGACAGGATGTTCCAGAGATTGGACACAGTAACAAGGGGACACAGTTGGAAGCTGAAGACACAGATGAATCACAGGGATGTTAGGAAGTATTTCTTCAGCCACAGAGTAGTCAGTAAGTGGAATAGTTTGGGAAGCGATGTAGTGGAGGCAGGATCCATACATAGCTTTAAGCAGAGGTATGATAAAGCTCACGGCTCAGGGAGAGTGACCTAGTAGCGATCAGTGAAGAGGCGGGGCCAGGAGCTCGGACTCGACCCCCGCAACCTCAACTAGGTGAGTACAACTAGGTGAGTACACACACACACACACACACACACACACACAAGACCACAAATGGAGTACGGTCTAGGGGCCAGAGTCTACAAACCTCACTCAAGGAAAAGAATCTCGGTGTGTGCATAACATCGGGCACATCTTCCGAGGCTCACATCAACCAAATAACTTCTGCAGCATATGGGCGCCTGGCAAACCTAAGAACAGCATTCCATCTAAATAAGGACTCATTCAGGACCCTGTACACTGTGTACGTTAGGCCCATATTGGAATATGCAGCGCCAGTTTGGAACCCTCACCTAGCCAAGCAAGCAAGGAAACTAGAGAAAGTGCAAAGGCTTGCAACAAGACTAGTCCTGGAGCTAAGGGTTATGTCCTGCGAGGAGAGGTTAAGGGAAATCGACCTGACGACACTGGAAGACAGGAGAGATAGGGGAGATATGATAACGACATATAAAATACTGAGAGATATAGACAAGTTGGACAGAGACAGGATGTTCCAGAGACGGGACACAGCAACAAGGGGTCACAGTTGGAAGTTGAAGACTCAGATGAACCACAGGGATGTTCAGAAGTATTT